ACTATAGTATGCCTTTCAATCTACATGAACAAAACACAATATATACCAAAGGATGCTCTTGAATATGTTTGCATGTGTATGGATAACATGAGAGATGTATAACTCCTCCTATGTAATCCACTTCTGCAGGTATTACAGATCTGTTACTGCCTTTACACTGAGACGGAATTATATACACTTTTTCCAAATGCATCTGCAATTGTTCATCAGAAAATCAGCCCACGTGTTTCCCATGTCTGGTCTGAAGTCCTAAGAATACTCATGAGGTAGGCAGGAAGATGATCTAGTACCAGTGGCACATTCTTTTCAGCAAGCTTCTTCAATTTTGCTTAAACATTGTGATTAGTCAAATGTCAGTGAAGCCTCAAGTTACATCTCGTTTTTGTCCTCCTAAAACAGTAGCTACGCCTTACAGATTGAGCACAAATGTGCCCAACATTGGCAGGATGCCAGAGGGACTGTTACAGAATGTTCCACGAAAATGAGAGACTGGCAATATGTATACTCGGAGTAGTAATCCCACAACGATCCCTTCTCGCTGTGACTAAAGTATCTCATATCTTTTAGGAAAACATGACCTTTTTGTTTGTTGTCTTACTTGAGGGTGAGAGTTGAGTGGCAGCAGCCACATGTAGCAAAAAGACAGGAAACTGAGGAACACAGCTAGCTTTAGCTTTTGCCTAATATGAGAGTGGAATCGATCTTTACATCAATCCCCAACATTGTCTATTTTTAATGTCCTCCGTCATAGATATTATTTTGGCCACAGCAAAGACTGTGGTGCCTGATGAACCTGTCTGTTTTTATGTTTCTGAACATAACATAGCACTGATATCGCTTAGTCAATTAAACAAGCCTCCTGACTTTATAGACACAGTATTTGAGTTTAAAGAGGAGAGGTCATGTTTCAAACTAGTCTCTTTTCTATTCGTAAAAGCGACCCCACTGATTTTGTACCCATATCCTCTCATTACCTGTGATGAAGTTTGTATGGGTTTATTATCTTCCACTCTTTGAAGAGAAATGGCTCTGTTATCTTATCATTGCCTGACCACTGTTATAAGTGTCGCTATACTGCAGACCTAAGAGTCCCTGGAGAGTTTCCATTGTGCCTTAAAACACACGTTTTACTACATCTACAGCACCCACTATCAATTACCAGCCTTTGTGATAACAAAACCAGTGTCTTCTTCTCTATCTGAAGTTTTACTCCCTGTTCCAATCTATTGGTTGTGGCTGTGCCTGTTGCTGTGGTCCTGGATCATAAGTCCTGGATGGATATCCTCGTGGATTCATCTTCCTATTATACACACATGCATTTCCAAACATTTGGTCTACCTATGTTGTAAATGTATTATCTTTTCAATTTACACACGGCATCTATTGCACGTCTGTCCGTCCTGGGAGAGGGATCCCTCCTCTGTTGCTCTCCCTGAGGTTTCTCCCATTTTTCCCTTTAAACTGTGGGTTTTCTCTGGAAGTTTTTCCTTGTACGATGTGAGGGTCTAAGGACAGAGGGTGTCGTATTGTCATACTGATATTCTGTACACACTGTGAAGTCCACTGAGACAAATGTAACATTTGTGATGTTGAGCTATATAAATAAACATTGATTGATTGATTGATTGATTGATTCTACAGTCCCCTCTGCTTTTTTGCAGAACCCTAAAGTGAAACAGCCAGAACATTCAACTTTTTGTAACATTATCCAGCTTTACTCCCTGTCTTGATGCTATTCTTTTCTGTGATACAAGCCAGAGGAATCTGAAATCCTTGCTGATTGGAAACCAATACAACAAAACAAAAACGTTCCGAGTACTCTTGCCTTCTTTACAGCCACAATGACCGATGTTTGAGTGTGTGGATCTGTTCTCTTCTGTGAGTTCAAAGTCAAAACAAATTCCTGCTATGGTGTGTGGCTTCCCCCAGAGAGATGCTCTCTCAGATGTGGTACCATCCTGAAAGATCTCGGCTGAGATAACAGTATGGGTTGTCTTAGAGTCTGGAAAGACAACATACGGACCACATAGAGAGGATATTATGTTGGCCTGCCAAGAGTATAGAACTGATAGCAGAAAGACAATTACCAAAGTCATTTGGAAGTATCTTCTGGGAACAAAGAATGTCTGTATGCCATTTAAAATAATTAATGTTGTAGATATTATGCTATTTGGTGGTATTAGATGAAAAGTAGGGGATTTCTAAAGTCAGCTTCATCCTACCATCTATATCAAATGTCATGATGATTCATTTAATAGTAGTTGACACATTTCCCACAAAGAAAACAAATGTGAATATCAATGTGGCACTACAGCAAACTTCAAAGCATCACCGTAGTCATTATGATCCATCCTCAGGAGATAATGAATGTCTGTACACAATGTTGCAATCAATCCACTAGTTTGATCGACAGGTTGACATAATGATGCTATGTGGCTAAATGATCTTTGATCCATGTGATCCAATCCCTCTCGCCTGATCTTTAAGGAGAAAACCAAACTACTGCATTGTCTTGTTTTTGACTTGATTCAAGATGACACTTATACTGCTCTTCATGACTATGCATGCAAGTTATGTTCTTGTTTTCACCAAAAGCACATGAAGCGGTCTGAGCGGTTTTCTAGAACCACAGAAAAATGAATAAATGCAGGCAGAAAAACAGTCAGCAGGTTCTTAGTATTGATTCCTTTTCCTGCCTCCCCTCTCTCTGCCTCTCTCTGAGCTTGGAAGCACTTGAATACAAAGTTCAGTGAATTGTTCTGGCATAGCAGCTTGTGTGTAATGACTTCTGACAGCAGTGGAGACAAACTGAATGTCTGTCTCTGCATGAGTATTTACAAATCCACTCTCGGGAACCGCATTCCAATTCTGGAAACACTATTATATGCAAGTCGCCATGAACAACCGCATGTACAGGATGCATATCCGGAGGTACTCGTTTGAAATAAATAGAGGACAAGACTGCAAAGGACACTGGCCTCATATTTCCCTGAGAACAATCTTTGGTGTACGAGTACAGAATCAAAGTGATGTATTCAAGTCATTTAAGAGGTACAGATTGGGGGAGAGCAGCTGCCTCCTCCATCATACAGAGCCACTGGCTCCACTGAATCTGGCCGTTGTTCTCGTCTGGATGCCCTCCAATACTGATGGGATTTTGGTCCTGCTAGCATTATGAGCTCCTTCTTGAAAGCACAATGCGATTGAGGCCAGGGTGTGTTCTTTGGTTTGTTGTTGAAAGAAAGCTTTGTACAAGTGTGTGGCTCAACAGAGGGCAAAGTTAGAGATACTAAAATGTAAGTTTCCCCTTTGTGGGAGGAATAAAGTAGTTCTGATTCTGATTCTAAACGTTGCACAAAAGTGGAAAACATGTTTAATCGTCACGTCTACAGCAGTAACAGAGCAGCCATATCTGTCTGTTAGGATCCAGTTTTGGCCTTCACAGTCTGTTCGGATGTCAGGCCCTTTGTAGTTAATGCAGACCCTTGTGCAGTTCACCATTTGGGCATTCTCCAACCTCCACTTTGATGTTGCCGTAAATTGAGTCTGCAGTCGGTTGCTGTGGTATGCCAGCTGGAGGAGGTGGAGGGGGGTGTTCTGGGTTGTTTGGTTAAGAAACTCTTCTGCACTTGTCTTGACTCCTCTCTAATCTCTCTAATTGGAATCAGGGGGTCTGAGGGTCCCCTGAGAGCTGCCAGATCTCTGTGGTCATAGTGTGGTGATGTGACGGGGTCAGAAGAACAGTTATCCCAACGACTGAGGGCTTTTCTTTTCTACTCTTTGTTCTGCTGGCCTCAAGGCCGCAGATCCATTCTGTTTTCACTCCCTGCGGCTTCATGTTTGTTTACAGTGTGTGGTTGTAGTTGTTATTCCTCTTCACACCCTTAAGTGTTATTGTTAGGAAATAGGAAATACCCTTTACCAAAAGGTAAAGTACTAGGTCATTAGGATTTCACACCGCTGCTTGCATTTGCCCTGAGGAGCAGTAAAAAACGGCCAAATGTGTTTTTATTCTTTTTACATAGCTCATGTGAAGGCTTCTGGTTCTTTCCCAGCTCCATATCAGGAAACCATTGGTCTTAAAATTCCAAGCTGTCACGTCTTTATTGGTGTTTGCAAATGTGTATGTGCAGTGCTGTATACTAGCTACACAATAAGGGCTTGCTATGTTTCATGGTGGAAAGAGTAAGACAGGAGCTGCATGTGTTATAACAGCTGTCGTCTCTCCCTGCGGGGAGGCAACACCATGCTAGTGTTTTCCAGAGAATCTGTGCTTTATTATATACAGCTCTCAGTGCGGGATGAGCAATTATTCAAGAATGAGACTACAGCAGTTGAACTATGTATAATGAGAATTATAAACTTTGTAGAAGCATAATTAAAAAGCAAGAGATTAATGGATCATCTATCTACTTTTAACCCAGTACAGTTAGCGGTTTTTGTGGACTTTATACTTCTACCCTTTGCTTTGAATAATAATATTAACATTACAGATTATAGAATAAGATAAGATGTAATACTTTATTAACCCAAGATGCAACATTGACAGGCTACCAAGTTGTATATAAAGTAGTTAAAGTTAGCTCCACCTTTACCAGCTGCAACATGTAAATGATGCACACATTGCAGCAATTATTATAATTCAATACAGACTAAATCAATTTTGCATAATAAATAAATAAATACTCTTCATTGAAAGCATGACTTTTACTTGGGAAGCATTTCTTCACTTTGGTATTTCAACTTTTACTTACATCAAAATCTGAGTAGACTTCCTCCTCTATCACTGTGAAAAATAGCTATAACCCTATAAATATATATTAATCATTTAAATTGTGGGCCTTCAAAAAGTATTTTTCTATGATGATGAGATGATACAAACTAATGTTGCTGAAAGTTTACTCCAGTTCAGCTTCTGCACCGCGCCCGTGTGTGACGACAGAATCACAACAGTAGTTTGGACCAATCAGAGGCGAGGGTTGCAGTACCCTTATCAGCCCATCAGCAGCACAGCCTCATCACAAAGGTCTGCTGCTCAGAGGCTGGATGCGGGTTGGAGAAAAAAAGCGGTGACTTTGGGATAAATTGCGGTACTTTGGAGGAGTTTGGGAAAAAGGTCTGAAAGTGAATCCTAACTTTTCCTCGTCTTTGTCGGTCCTGAACGACATAGTTGTTCCTATGAGTGTGAAACCCGTACGGGACTGGCGAGCACCGGAAACTTTTTCTGAACTCTGAAACTTTTCGATCTTATCATGTTGTGGCCGTCCTTGTTGTTGCTGACTTTGTGGCGTCTCGCTGACTTCAAGTCCCCAACTGTGACATGATATGAAACCATCTGGGTCCTTGTTTTGACGCAGCGTGATGGAACTACAGAAGCCCACATGAAGTCTAACCTTTTTAAGAATCAATCTTCCTGGAAATGGCAAGTCGTGCCATATTGATGGAGCGGACAGCAGTGTTGATATGCAGCGTATTATTCCTAATAATCGGCCTCTGTGTAGGATCTCCTAACCACAGTCGTCGGCTGGTTTGCTGGAAAGCCATCCTGAAGTGCCACGGAGAGACGGAGTGCCATTACGCTTACGACCAGTACCTTTATGCTTGTTCCTCTGTCCTCAGTGGGGACCGCAAGAAGTGTCCAAGCCACTGCATATCCTCTCTGATCCAGCTCAATATGACCCAAGGTGGCCCGGCTCTGGAGGACTGCGACTGCGCCACGGACCCGGTGTGCAGGAGCACCAAACAGGCCATCGAGCCGTGCCTGCCGCGGACCAGCACCGTGGGCTGCACCGAGGCCCGGCGGCAGTGCGAGGGGGACCACTACTGCAGCTCCGCCATGAGGGACTATTTATTCCACTGCAGGAAACTTTTCGGAGGGGAAAGGTGCTCGGAAGACTGCCGCAGAGTGATCTCCAACATGCGCACAATGCCGAAGGCGCAGCAGCTCGACACTTGTGTGTGTGATGGCACGGACAGGAACATTTGCGAGTACATAAAAGTCAGCATGAAAACGTTCTGCTCCGATTCCAGTGATAGGTTCGCGGGAAGCGGATTTTCAGACACTGAGGAAGACTCTGAGGACGATTATATCGACCAGGAGGAATATCTATATGAGGAAAACTCCAGTGCCTCCCCACCTTGTCGGACTGTTCTAAATATCCTGACCACCATTTTGGTTTTGACCAAATTTATCTGAAAAGCAGAAAGTCAGTGGTCTTGCTCAAAATCAGCTCCCTAGAAACTGTCTTTCTCCCCTAAACTAACATTTGGGTATTTTACATTCAACGGTTGAAAGCTGATTTGTAGCATACGTTTATAAAATTCAGGACAGTGTTTATCACTTAGTAGCATTTGGTATGTTTAAGTGACTAAAATGACCATGCTGAAGGAGCCTATTCTGTGTTTATCAGCTATGTAAAGATAAATTGTACAGTATATTGTATAAAACATATTTTTGTCAAGATATTTCTATATGAGTGACAAGAAATTTGCACTGTATGCATAAGTGAGTCCCACTCTTTAACTGCATTATGACCACAGAGGAAGGAAAATAACTGTGCCTGAACGTTTTACTACTGGGTTTATTCATCCTGACCAATTCAGAGGTGTGCTGGGAAAGCAGAGCAATTTTCTTTTACCTGCCTTACAGAGACTTTCTCCACAACCCCTTCATTCGTTTCTGTAAGCCCCTGCAATGTGTTTAAATCCCAGGAAGGGTAATGCTGAAACAAGAAGCTTTTGAGAGTGATACACTTGACCTCGTAAACATGGATGTTTGCTTAAGGTATCAAGTGTTAATTCTTAAAAACTGTTCAAACAGACGAGAGAAAAGGTAGACCCCTCCTCCTGGGGGATTGCAGCCCAAATGGAGCCAAGAAGCTGTTGGCTCAGTTTGTTTGTTTGAAGTCTTCACAAAGACACACTGAGGGAAATAAAATGTCTGTGTTTGGGTGAGTGGAGATGTTAAGTGCCCATTATGAACACACTCCGCTGAATGTACATGCACATTAAATAAAAGAGAGTTTTTAAATAATTCATTTGGATTCTTTGTGGCTCTGTCTTTAACTTTTAATCGTAAGTTTATTTCTCAGTTCATTTGAAAGTGTCAGGTTTAACACATTGATTGTAGGACTGTAAAGGGTAATTTACACTAATCTGTTGTTTTTCTCAGAAAGTTAAGTAACTAAGGTGAATTTAAAGATCACAGTAATAGTTTTACAAAGTTAACATCAGATTTGTTTTACTTTTGTTTTCATTTGACAATTTGTTAGGGTTGGAAAATGTAACTGGGACCAGCCTTTAACACAATTATTCACTAGGTCAGAAACTTTACTTGCTTTTAGCGGCCTTAGCCAAAAACATTCCTCACAAGTCAAAGTCCTTCAGATGTTCTTGATATTTACCCAAGCTTTACTGTCATGCACTATTTAGGTATCAAGTGTTTACCTGCTTTAAAATCTTAAAAATAACCCTAAAGTAGCATGATACATCAACAACAGTTCCAAAGCTAACCATGATCATTTTAAAAAACATTTCTAGACGGTGGTTCCAAAGAAAGATTACTTTTACAAAACAGTGCTGACAGTATAATGGATTTTTTTTAATGATTTCAAGCTACATAGTTTGATGTTCTTTTAAATAAGTGAGAGCAGTGATGGAGTAACCGCCTGTTTACATGCTTGTGACTCCTGTTATGAGTCTGTCAGCTCTCTATACTCACAGCAAAGCCAGCGTCCCCTCCTTCACTTGTGATAATGGGTCTTGAAACTATTGATGGCAGCCATGTTGCTTTTCAAGGAAAAGAGATGGGCCCTCCAGCCCATTTATTGGAAGAGAAGTCGAGTGGCACCTCTATTATGGAGATGAAAAATACACAATGGTGCAGCAGCACAATGCTGGGGCACTTCATTCACTCTGTCACCCTTTTCAGGGAGTGGGGGAGCACGGGGAGACAGCTATCCCAGAGGAGTTATGTGAGAAAGTTCAGCTTTATTGCTCAGTCCAACTCCTGCTGATACATTTGTTTACCAGTTAGTTATCTTACAATTAGATGAAGTCTTCTCCCACTTCTAACATATGCTGCACTCTTTATTATACTATATGACTCAACTGAAAAACACAAGCTATCATCAGGCTTTAAACTGTCTTCATAAAAAACAGACCCAAATAATAAATCCTACTATGGCAGCAATTGTAAGAAAAATACCAACAAAGTGAAGTAGTGCAGGCATTTCGGGGCCTTTTGTTATGAGAAGCAAAAGCTTGACACTGTCACTTTAAGAGAGAAGGCTTCTGCTCCAACCATTAATAATTGTAATGCCTTTTTATCATTGTTGAGGATAATGAACGGATGAGAATCATATGGGGGCCCCAGACCATACTTTGCCCTGAAATGTTTTCAATTAACTTTTGGCACCAAAGGAAATAGGAATGTTGTTTTTTTTTTTCCAATAGCGAAACAGAAAAGAGTCAAATGGGGCCTTTGGTGCAGGGACCAGAACATCATTAAAATTGCCTCATCATAACTCACAGTGATACTTGGCCCGCACCTCCCCTCTACCCCGCCCCAAACCGTCCTCCTCTAGGTTACACCAAGGAAAAACAGGCAGCCCTACTTTGGATAGTTTTTGCAGACAATATGTTCTCTCTGTTGGCCACTGGTGCAATGGGAGTGTTACTCAGTATTTCCCCCTACTACGTCATTTTATTATCACAGTGAATGTACATTAAAATGACTCCAAAAGCTTTTGGGAAGAGAAATTATTTGGGACTACCTTGCAAAACAGAACTTTTTGGGACGTTTTGTCAGTTTCTCTCAACTTGTTATATCACAGACCTTCGTGGAAATAATGGAGTAGTACTGTCATGACCATTGTTGTTGATCTATGATGTTAGTGTTGGATTACTTCATTGTTAGATTTTACTATCATTTTTTGGAAAGGAAAATAATTTAAAACATGTTTGCTTATCCCAGCAAATCAAATGTTTAAATCTTTCTGTTTGTATCTTTTTCAAATCATCATAAAAGTAATATTTAGGTTTCTGTTGGTCGGACAAAACAAAAAATCGTCTCCTTAGTCTTATCGAACTTGTATAAAGCATTTTTTCTTCTATGTTCTTATATAATAAATAATACATTCAATTTATTTAGCGCTTCTCATCTGCCAAGACAAATCCCAAAGCGCTTATTATTATTCTATATCTTATAGAATAAAAGATAAGTCTATTAAAAAAAACCTAACCATTTATTGAAGCTCTATAAGATCTTAACTTAAAAGAAAATACACCCATTTGGCTACTGTCTTGAAACAAGACTAAATTACTTTTTCTGAACAGTGACTACTTTCCCCAAAATATACTGATAGATAAATATCCTGTGGTTTTCTAAATGAACCATTGAAATGTCTATGTGTAAGATGTGATAAACATAGTGTATCAGTGACTTAGTTAGTCACTGACACTGACTCATCAGTATCTAACGTTAGCTCCAAATTAGCCACCATTAGGTCATACTCATACCGTACAAAATCAGACTGTAGCAGTCAAAACTTCGGAGTATATTGGATTTAGCAAGCGTGAGTTGTATTGCTAGTAATCCTTGAAATAAGTGTGTGATTACCAGACTCTTATTTCACACTTTTAAACATGGTGTCATAGGTTACTTGGAGTTCTGTATTGACCGAAAATAAACAAACTTAGCCAAAGTGAAGTGAAAAACCCCAGTGACCCACAATAATTGAAGGCTGGGGGGTGGACTTGAGGCAGGCCGTACCCTGAGTTTAGAAGTGGGAAAGGTGGAGGAGGGGTTGATTTATGATTGAGGTTTAATGGGGGAAGGGAACGGTATGGGAGAGGGGCTGCGCTGGGTTGAATGTCAGGGATTTCGAGCCTCTAAATAATGATGCAAAGAGGGAATATTTAATCAGCCAATCAGATTCTCTATCTGCCATGGCTGCATAGGAGTTGTCAGTTAGTTTCCTCCCCTGATTCCCTCCTGCATCCAAAGGTGGCCTCCTGGTGTAAGGTTTTAGGGAGTGAGCGAAGAAGAGGAGGAGGGGGGAACACAAAACATAGCTGACAAGGAGGCATAACTTCATTTCCACGGTGCTGGGGCAGCTGTGTGGAGTAATCTGCCGTAGCAGCCCTCTAAAACTTCAATGCCTTTAGTGACCCAGGGAAGTGGGGAGGGGGCACCTCCAACTGTGTCCAGGCGTTTAGGAGTGCGAAGGGGCTCCTTTCACACCCTTCTAAGGGCTTTTGTTGAAAAAAGATCCCTTACCACTTCTTCATAGAAAGCAGGGACTATATGTTTATGAGATGAGACAACAATGATTCTCCTTTTGAGAGCTAACCGTGAATTCCTTTTCTGACCAGTTGCAAAGCAAGGAATTTTAGGATTTTTAAAGTTAAAACAATTTCATGTTTTCCCTACATATTTTACCCATTTTAAGATGTTTATAGTTTTCGGGACATTATTTAGAAAATAAGTTGTTCAGATGTTCAAATTCAGATGTGTTTCACCCACTTAATAGAGCAGGTCTATATTTGAATAATAAACTCAAGTATCACAAGTTTCTGACTTTTGAGATCATGTTATCTTTACATTTTCACTTGTTACTCAGTTTCTAGTATGAGGTAATATTAGTAAAAAAGAGAATTGGGCAGTCTATCGATGAAGAGGGGTTCATTATTTTGTGCTAACTGTTCTGTTGAAGGCTGAAGAAAGAACAAAACATTTTAGGCTAAGATAATGGCCCGAGGCTGAGGTGCTGTCCGGAGTGAATGGGGTCTCCCTGGAGCTCAATAAGGTCCCAAAGTTTTACTCCATTATGCTGACATCCTAAAGGCCAGGGGGTGCCACCCCCAATGGTTACCTCTCAAGTATGCATTCATCACCCCCCACCACACACACACACACACACACACACACACACACACACACACACACACACACACACACACACACACACACACACACACACACCACACACACACACACACACACACACACACACACACACACACACACACACTCACAGGCATACCAATTCAGATTTTGCGAGCATATTTCCCTTTTACAGATCTGTGTCCATTCCTATATATTGTGTGAGACAGTCAGCAGTTGCTCAGCAAAGAGTGCTCTGGCAGGAGGATCTCCAGTCATGCCTGCAGTGTTGGAGCTAAAGGACTAAACCCATGAGCAAACATGGATATCAAAGGCTGTTAAGCTAAGCAAATATGACATTCATCCTTTTTGTCCATCATGAGAGCAACTTTACAAGCATGAAAGCCATATCACAATGGTAATGATTTTAATAAACCCTTTTATCAATAGACACTTTATTATCTACACCTGTCCTTTTCTAATATTAAAGATATAGACTCTAGTTCCATCTCCCATTGCTCCCCGGGCGCTGTACAATAGCTGCCCACTGCTCCTGGTACTAGGATGGGTTAAAAGTAGAGAACACAATGTCACTGTGTGTGCTGTGTGCTCTGCATGTGTGACCATTAAAGAGGGTTTCATCCCTCCCAATTCTTCTTCTTCTTCTATCTTAAGTTCTTGCTGTTTTTTTTAGAACTTTAACGATTTGTCCCAGCATAAGTTGACCATATAAATTCCGTTAATTCTAAGCAGATAAGATTCATGTGTTCATAGGCATATGTGAAAGTGCTTTTAGGAACGGTAAATACATAAAAATGCACATATGTTTTGTCATGTTTATGTCCAACACCTTAATCTCTCGTTGTCCTCCGTACGTTTTCTGTCCTCCGTACGTTTTCTGTCCTCCCTGTTTCTACTCATCTGGTTCTCATTTGCAGAGCCTGGAATGTGTTCATGCTTTTAAAGATGAGTTATTAGCCTATTAGTATGTACCTCAGACAAAACTATTATAACTCAACTTATGTGGCGAGACACTGTTGTTTGTAGTCAAATATCCACAACTTTGTTTGGATCTAAATGGACTATAAGACTGACTGATTAATGATTAAATAGGACATGCGCTTTTTGATATGTAGTGTTGGTGAAAATATG